GGGGGGGGGGGAAAAAAAGTACCTTTTTGAGTTCCATTATCTATGGAGCAAGCTTAGCTGCTCCATGGGCTCTTTGAGAGCTAATGCAGGTGCATTAGATATGAGTGCTGAGTGTGTTGACTAGGAAGACCAACACTCAGCCCATTTTGGCTTTTGGTTTCTCTAATTGGCTCCTTTTTTCTCTTGTAGGTGGCGTCGTCTGAAGGCTCAGATGATTGAGAAGCGATCCAAGCTTGGCGAATCTCAGACTCTGCAACAATTTAGTAGAGATGTAGATGAGATTGAAGCCTGGATCAGCGAGAAGCTTCAGACTGCAAGCGATGAGTCCTACAAGGATCCCACAAACATCCAGGTGGGTGTGGAAAAAAAAATGTTTGGTTTGAGAAAGTGTATGATTGCTACAAAATTTCTAAAAGAAGTACTGTATAGGAATTTGTAGAATATCGCAATCTAAAATCTTGTCACCAACAGCTCACATTTTGGCTCACAGAGTGTAAACTTGTTGGTACTGGGGAAAAAAAACTGCATTGAAATGTCTGTGCTAAATGCAGCTACTTTGGTAAATGACTGAAAAAATATAATCGTATTCTTTAAATGTGCTACAAATTTGGATAGTTCAGTTGGAGCATATAGTGGAAAACTACATAAACTGACATTTCCTTCAGTGGAAACCACACATCACCAATGAGCAGTCTCAAGTATATAGGCTGCTGAAGTTTTTATATGCAAATCTCGACTCTTCTTATAACAATCTACAGTAGCTTAGGCCTGACTATTAACTTTTACACCTGTGCACTTGCTTATATTCACTAGGGATGCACCAATACTGGTTTTTCGGTATAGAGTACCGATATTTTTTTAATTTTTCCGGTACTCTGCAAAACCAATGCCGGAAGTCACATTACAGGAACTATGGGGTCAGGGCTTTTCCCCATAGTTCTCAGGGTAACGGGAGGACACAAACTAGCGTCCTCCCGTTACCCTAAGCTCAGTATACCGCGAGCTACAGCTGAGACCCCGGAGCGGATCCCGACATCGATGTCGAGATCCGCCCAGCTGCGTGAGTAACAGCTGGCTCTGCCTATCTAGAGGCAGAGCCAGCTGTACCCCTCCCCCGTCCGATCCGCCAGTCAGCGCTGGCGGATCGGAGCGGGGAATCCAGCCCCTCACGGCAGAGAGCCGTGACAGGATCGAGCCGGTATATGTTCACTCACCTCCCAATCTACTGAGCCGACCTGTGACCGTTTCATTGTCACAGGTCGGCTAGAACTATGAGGTGAGTGAAAAACGCTCACCTCATAGTTCTCCTTTAAGGAAGCCGGACGGCATGTAATGAGTCGCTTCCCGGGTAGTCATCTCCATGCTCACTCGTGACAAGGAAGCATGAAGCCGGGGAGGGCGGATAATGACCTGTTTTCCTGATTGGCACGCTTCCCGACCAATCAGGAAGCCGGGCGGCTAGTCATTACATGGCGCTGGCTTCATTTTTGGCCAACTCTTTGCTACCGCATCACTAGATGACGAGCAAGCATGGTGCCGGCTTTCTATGCAATCAGGAAGCCGGGGGCCGGTAATGACTCGCCTCCCGGTTTTCTGATTGATCTGGAATCCGGCCAATCAGGGGGCTAGTCATTACCCACCCCCTAGCTTTCTGATTGGCTGGGAATCCGGCTCCATGCTTCCTGGTGGTGAGGGAGCTTGGAGCCGGCTTCCCGGCCAATCAGGAAGCCAGGCAGCGTGTAATGGTTTGCCGCCCGGCTTTTGATGCCGGAAGTTCCGGCATCAGGAGCACTCGCTCAAATACTCGGTATCGGCACTGATATCGGATACTAGTATTGGTATTGGTGCATGCATAATAGTCACCTTTTATTTCCTTCCCTTCCACTCTGTTTAGCCACTTGGAGCAAAGGCGAATGCAGTTACTTCCAAGTAAGGGAGGACCATATGACTATTTCACCTTCCACCCATGATGCAGTGCTGGGTGCCTGATGGGCCAGCCCTAGTGCCCTTACATGGGGGTGGGTACAGGGTCCTTATTCTTGTGTAAGCTCTAACCGGAGAGACGTGAAGCTTTGGTAGGTTTTGGTTTCTTCACTCCCATGGGTAAACAGAGTAGTGGTAGAGCGAAGACAAACATAAGCAACTAGGTTCAAGCAGGCATTTAGGTGAGCATGTTGCTTTTGTTGCAAATGCTCACTTTAAATCAAATTGTTTTATTGTAGTAGCCATTCATGCTTCTCACGGTGGAATATCTTTTACTCAATGCCTTCTTTTCTCAATCTATTTTATAGCTTTCCAAACTCCTGGTAAGTTGTCAGGAAGAGCTTTTGTGTTGCTCATCTTTGTTCATAACCACCTGCATTAGTTTTTTTTTATTTAGCGCTGGTTATATGTCTCTTATTTTTCTTGTAGTCATTAGTTACCATCATTGTTTTTTTTGGGGGGGGGTTTCATTTTTTTTTTTGCTAGCCCTAGACTGCTGGTTTAGTTTTGTCTGTTGACAAGACACACTCTACATGATGTTAGCTAACAGGTCACAGAAACAAAGTCCGATACGACTGTCTGTAAAAACTGGGCCCATGTGTGCAGGTTCTTTCTGTATTGGTTAGGAATCCCTTTGAGCTTAATGCTGCTTAATGCTCCTCCAGAGAGAGAGAAGTTACAATACTGATCTCTCCATTAGAACTAAAAGCAATGCCACTTTAGGTAGCACCTGAGGTGCATTCAGAAGTTCTGTCTTTATTGACCCTTCCATTCCGTAAGGATCTCTTCTTTGTGGAGAACTTGCTTATACTTTTCATTGTCGGCATTGTCGGATTTCTTCTGACGCTATTTGTAATCATCCTGGGCTGCTGCCCCCACCCCCCTTATACTTCAGTCCACCAGTTAATCCCCTTCTCCAACAGATACATTAACACCTTTTAGGGCATCATATTATAAAGGTCAGCCCGTAATACCAGGTTTCACCTTTTTCATGAGGTGTTGCTTGGAAAGTTTGAAATCTTCACTCCTGGTCTTTGCAAAATATAAAGTGGGGCCCAAAAACCCCAAAAGAAGTCAAAATACTACATAAGCAGGACATTTTAGTAAAGGTGTAGTAATGGTGACCTTTAAACTTCATGCAGAAGGTGTTGGTCTTCTCTGATTTGTTCTTGAACTGTGGCATTATCGTTTTTTTTGGGCGGGGGGGTTTCTGTTTGTGCTACTGTTTTTGTGTCTTCATTACATCTCTCTCAGATAACTGTTCATGGAACACATCTGCCTTCCTTTCTTCTAATACTCTGGAGTCCAAGAACACTTTAACCTCTTGTTCCTTGTCCAGAAATTCCAATTTAGAGAACGCTAAATGTGATATTGAGATGATGTGTGTTTAACTGTTGTCTCTTACTGCCCTGCAGAGCAAACATCAGAAGCACCAGGCATTTGAGGCTGAGCTGCAAGCTAATGCAGATCGTATCCGTGGTGTCATAGACATGGGCAATTCCCTCATAGATCGTGGAGCTTGTGCCGGCAGCGAGGATGCAGTGAAGGTGAGCGAACTTTGAGATGGCTAGGGTGTGTGTGCGCAGCTGCTATTCTCAATGTGTGTTCAATTTGGTGCTAAAACCAAAATCGTGTTTGACTTGCTCCAAGAGCCCATTTTGTTGCTGGCAGTTTGTACCTCCTAGCAGTCCCCATTCTGTCAAGACAATCCTAAAGGGTCGAACTCTGTCTGAAATGTTTGTCTTTTTACCCAAATATTGCGGTATTTTAGGTAGTGGTTGTCGTGTTTTGTTGGGGGGGAGGGGTTCCAATAAATACACAGTATACACATCCAAACATTATTAGAAGACCGCCATATTATAATCTGCAAATATTAAAACCATTCCCTTTTTAAGGGTCTCCGCTAAAGTGAAGCAAAAAACACAAAAACAACCTAAAACCCTCCCAACCCAGAAGGGGCGAACCCCCCCACCCCCCCACCACCTTTCTCTTCTCTTCGCCCTCCAATCCCCCCCTTCCCCAGTGGCCGTACAGCTGTGCTGCTTCTTCTCTACACGCACATAATAGCGCTGTAAAATTGTATCCACGGGTTCCATGTCATCAGAAATTGAGTACCGGTTCGTGATCGCGCTACTAACTCTTCTACCCTTCCCAAAAAAAATATTTATTTAACGCAATCTTTCATTTGCGGAGTGTCTTGAGACCTCCAATATCTAGCCATTACCGTTTGCAGCAAATGTAAAAAAAATGGAATAGGCCTTAAATGAGCCACTTAAAATGTTCAAAATTAGTTAATTATCCCCATCTTTTATGTATTTTAGGCTCGTTTAGCAGCACTGGCAGACCAGTGGCAGTTCCTGGTGCACAAATCTGGTGAGAAGAGCCAAAAGTTGAAAGAGGCCAACAGGCAGCAAAACTTCAACACTGGCATCAAGGACTTTGATTTCTGGCTGTCTGAGGTAAAGAAGAAAAAAAAAGTTTGAAAAAAAAATGGCCATGGCCATATACAGCTTGCAGCAAGTTTACATATGTCGTTCTTTTGCAGGTGGAGGCTTTGCTAGCCTCAGAGGATTATGGGAAGGACTTGGCATCTGTCAATAACTTGCTGAAGAAACACCAGCTGCTTGAAGCTGATATATCTGCCCATGAGGTAAGCCAAGGATAAATTAGCTTGGAAATCAAGAAATTCGACTGATTGGGAATTGGCAGAGGTGTCATTGTTCCTTTTGAATCCCCTTTCCAGGACCGTCTGAAGGATTTGAACGGACAGGCTGACAGCCTGATGACCAGTAGTGCTTTTGATACTTCCCAAGTGAAGGAGAAGCGTGATGCCATCAATGATCGCTTCCAGCGCATTAAAGGAATGGCGACTGGTCGCCGCAGTAAGCTCAACGAGTCCCATCGCCTTCATCAGTTCTTCAGAGACTTGGATGATGAGGAGTCTTGGATCAAGTATGTGCACAAATAACATACCTAGAAAAATAACGTACGAAAGGTTCTGACTACTGGTTCAATGGCAGGCAGATATCTTTCTGTGACCACCCTGTTTTGTAGGAGGTTGGACACTGGAAAACTGTAAATAATGAGATAGGAACAGGGCCAGTGCAAGACTATTTTGCGCCCTAGGCAAGACCATCTACTTGCGCCCCACCCAGTCCCCTTCCTGCGGTGCAACCCGCCCGTGTGGCCAGATTCTCCTGCCGGCTTCTGCAGGCAACAGTTCAATGTAAGCAATAGCCAGATTGCCTATTAAAACACCCACCCCCACTGAGCAGATGAGAGAAAGTTGTCTCTCAGTTCCGCTCCTCTGTTCAGTGGGTGGGTACAAAGGCCAGCCTAGTAGGCCCTAGGCAGCAGTGCGCCCTAGGCGGCTGTCTAGTGGCAGCACCGGCCCTGGATAGCAAGGCAGAAATCCATCTAAAACTAGAGTGAACTTTGAGGTTGGATGGAGCTCCCTAATGTATTGGACTATGCTATGGATACAATTTTGCTGAGACATCAAGTTTCTTATCTGACCAGATGTTAAAGGGTTATTAAACCCTCGCATGTTTTTGCATATATCTTGTGCTAGCAAGCAGTAGATGTATGCAAAAACATTTTTAAAATGGTTTAAACTTATCTGTGTCTTCGCCGCGCGCTCCAGTCCGAACATCTGAAGAGTCTCGGGTGGCCGCAAAGGATCTTGGGGCCGGCGTATGCGCAGTTCAGATGTTCGGCCGGGAGAATAGGAGAGACGCAAGGTAAGTCTATGGAGCGGCGTGCACCCGCACAGACTCCGTGGGACGGGGCAGAGAAGAGGAGGACAGAGGAGTCGGCACTGGATCGGAGACCCACACCAGCACTGGAGGGACAGCTGAAAAGGACAGTAAAGAAGAAGATAAGATTAAGAGACATCATTTAAGGTAAGTCCCTACAGCAGGATTGGGAAGGGGGGAAAAATAACTGACTTTAATGTCACTTTAATTTTGATAGCAAGGTAGGTCACAGAAATCGCGCAGAAAATTTGTGGCATCAGTTTTGTGCAAGCAGTTCACAAATTTTTCTTAGAGTGCAGAAGATTTACCGTATATAGGAACTCTCCTTAACATCCTTGTGCTTTGTACTGTTAGGGAGAAGAAACTCTTGGTTGGCTCCGATGATTATGGCCGAGATCTGACTGGAGTGCAAAATCTGAGAAAGAAACACAAGAGACTGGAGGCAGAACTGGCTGCCCATGAGCCAGCTATTCAGGTATAAAACCTGACCAACGTTTTTTGGTTCAGCCTGTTGTCTTTTTTTTTATTCCTTTTTGTGTCTCCTTGATCTACCTGGTAGCTGAGCTGTGTTGTGTTCTGTAGGGTGTTCTGGAGACTGGTAAGAAACTAGCCGATGACAACACTATTGGAAAGGATGAAATTCAGCAGAGACTGGCTCAGTTTGTGGAACACTGGAAGGAGCTCAAGCAGCAAGCCTCAGCCAGGTAAGACATTGTATATTTTGCTGCCACCCAAAGACGATAGACTCTGCAGGTGTTGCCTCTAGGTACTTGGAAACTAAAATGGGCTTTCTATTCCTCTCTGCACCCATCATTGCTTAGTTTTAGTACTCTGATATTTTCAATTAAATGGTCCCTTATACCCACTCATTTTATGTTTTTCACATATATGAATAATCGTGAGACATAAAGCCATTGTTTGTATATCGTTGAATTGGTTCTAAAGCAGCTAATGTAGGACTTGATATAGCAACTGTCACCAGGCTCATAGGCAACGGGGTGGGGGGGAGTCATGCTTCAATTTCCCTTTCTCAATGCCCACTCTATCCTCCGTCCCACAACAGAGTCCTGCAACAGCACATTGATGTCTCCTCTTTAGGCCTATGTCCACTACTGATATTTTAGTTGCCTGGAAGTCTAGTGGCTGTGCCTTTCATGCTGCTATGAATTGACTGCTTGTAAGCCACAGTTGCAGAGGCTATTCGAGAGATGGTGGTAAACAAACTATAATCCCCAGGTATTTTGTATTGGACATGTAGTCTGATACCCCCTTTCATGAACATGTGATTACTGTATGGAGGTTAGGTTTGTTTACGATGCCCTTTTTCACTAGGTGAATTGGTTTAAACATACAGTACAGGCTGTCCCCTAGTTACTTACATACGACCCCTACTTAGAAACGGAAGCTATTATTGATCAGCAGGGGGTCCCAGGCTGCAGCCACAGTGTACCGTGCAGCTTTTCAGCAGTTGTAATGCTACCGCGCTCGTGCCAAAAGGGAGTGCCCACCTTTTTGGGTCTGGTTTGTAGTACTGTACGTATATTACAGGAAGTTGGCTCTTGTTAGACATGCAGACGAGGGGTGCCCGCCTCTTCTTCCGGGTCACTGTGAGTTTTTTACTGCTGTCTGTATCCGCATTAGAAAGATTTAATCTCACTTCCTGTCCTTGAGACAACAGGAAGTGAGAGGAAATCTACCGCTAGGAACGTAAATTCCCTCCTGTAAGAGTTATCATGGGAAAAAGGTGTCTCCACTGAAGCTTTATCACCAATCCTTGTTTCCACGACAACCCAAAATGTTCCAAATCCAATTGTCACAGGGACAGAAAGTGAGGTGAAATCTTCTGAACAGGGGCACACACAGCAAAACAAACTTTACAGGGGGGAAACCCTTCCCTATGCTATCCAAAACTAAAAAAAAAGATTGGGGGGCTGGAGTTAAACAAAAAAAATTACCTGTTCCAACTTGCATACCAATTCAACTTAAGAACAAACCTACAGTCCCTATCTTGTTCGGAACCCGGGGACTGCCTGTAATTCTTTTGTTTTGTGAAGGTGCTGGCTGAGTTTCTCACGAAAGCCAGGGGCTCTCCTCTTTAAAGCCTGTTGCAATAAAGACGTAGAGGTGTTCATATCAACCAACCATATCATGAGATTTAAAATGTCTAAAGAAATCTTTGTTGCTGATTGGTTATGCAGGGGTCAGAGGCTGGAAGAATCTCTGGAGTACCAACAGTTTGTTGCCAATGTTGAAGAAGAGGAAGCTTGGATCAATGAGAAGATGACTCTGGTTGCCAGTGAGGACTATGGTGATACCCTGGCTGCCATTCAGGTGAGAAAAGTAGAGGTTGTAGGTTAAATAGCGCAATTTTAGCTTGGTCAAGATTTCACCTAAAAAGCCACCTTGGTGTTTGTTCTGGGTTTTAGGGATTACTCAAGAAGCACGAGGCATTTGAGACAGACTTCTCAGTACACAAGGAAAGGGTTCATGATGTCTGCGCTAACGGAGAAGATCTTATCCGAAAGGTAAGCTTTTAGCATTGCAGACAAATGCCATTTGTGTCATTGCTCATAACACTACAATAAATATATGTAAATCTTCCTTCCAGAATAATCATCACGTAGATAATATCAGCGCCAAAATGCAAGGCCTTAGGGGCAAAGTGTCAGAGCTTGAGAAGGCAGCCGCTCAGCGCAAAGCCAAACTTGATGAAAACTCTGCCTTCCTGCAGTTTAACTGGAAGGCGGATGTGGTGGAATCCTGGATAGGTGAGGCTTTTTTTTTTTATATACAATCTGGTTCCGCTTCTGCAGTTCTGAAATAAATGCAGTCACTCTGCTTCTGTTATTGCAATTGTTGGGTCACTGATCTTATTATGACCATTGGTTATGCTTGCCAGATTTTTTGCTTTTAATCTTTCAACTCCGATAAGTTTAGGTCCTATTCTCACTTGTCCGTTTTCATGCAGCAAAACTCATGTATTTTCCTGCATAAAAACGAATTACAATTGGAAATCCCATACTTTCCAATGGCTGTATTTATCTATATGCTGCAGTTTAGTGTGAAATGTATAAGGCTATTTACACCTACTCGTGTGGGTTACCATGCATGCTGCAATGCACAAGGAGCAGTGTGAATCCAGCCTCTGCATTTAGAAATCCTAGGCGGAGTTTTTCCCTTACCTGTTTGGTATTCTAAATAAGAAAAGTGCGTATTGATTTAATAAAGAACTAAAACTCTCGAGGTGGCTCATGTTTGATGCCTGTTGGAGTGGCCATAAAGTGGAAATACATACAAAACGTTTAGATATTTATTGGTCATCTTTTATCTATGGTTGTAATACCTTGCATATTCCTATTTTAGGTGAGAAGGAAAACAGCCTGAAGACAGATGACTATGGCAGAGATCTGTCCTCTGTGCAGACACTTCTTACTAAGCAGGTGAGTGGACTGCGAGTGAATGCTGTGCCATCAGTTGTCGTATTGTTACACTCAGTGGCGTAACAATCACCATAGCGACCCAGGCGGCCGGCCGCTATGGGGCCCCGGCCAGGACATTCCCCCCTGATGCCGTGCGGGTCGCTATGGCATTTCAGTATGCTGGCTGTGACTGGCGGCTGTGAGGAGAAACACGCAGCCATTCACATGTGCAGCGGCGCGTACCTCCTCACAGCTGCTGAGTCGATGACGACCAGCAGCTTCGGGAGGTGGCTGGGCCCGTCGTCGGCAGCGATGGGGGAGGCGGGGCCCAGCGACAGGGAGGCGGGCCTGGCGATCGAAGAGGCGGGGCCCAGTGAAGGAGAAGGCGGGGCCCGCAAGCAATCGTGGAGAAGAAGGAGGCCGACAGAGGATCGGCCAAACAGGTAAGTGGGCTTGACTGCCCACCTGAGACCCTGCAGAGCTCACCATTGAGAGTCTATGGTGGGCTCTGCAGGGTCACCCTCAGGTGGGCTGTTTGGGTTATCAAGTGTACTTATCTAGAAATCACAGGGCCTCATACAAGATTTTGCTATGGGGCCCTGTGATTTCTAGTTACGCCCCTGGTTACACTGTGTAATGTGTGGTTTTTGTTTTCCTCAGGAAACCTTTGATGCTGGACTCCAAGCATTCCAACAGGAAGGCATCACCAACATCACTGCACTAAAAGACAAGTTACTTGCAGCCAAGCATGTGCAGTCCAGGGCTATCGAGACCCGCCATGCCTCCCTGATGAAACGATGGAACCAACTGCTGGATAATTCTGCTGCCCGAAAGAAGAAGCTTCTGGAGGCACAAGAGCACTACAGAAAGGTAGACTGCTTTTAGTGAGGATATTTTCTTTTCTCTAACTGCCTGTTATCTGTAGAAACAAATCTGTGCAGTGCCGTAGTCTGATGAACCTTTATTTCGTTGTTAGGTCGAAGACTTATTCTTGACATTTGCCAAGAAAGCATCTGCATTCAACAGCTGGTTTGAGAACGCAGAAGAGGACCTGACTGATCCAGTCCGCTGCAATTCCCTTGAGGAAATCAAGGCTCTGCGTGAAGCACACGATGCATTCCGAAACTCCCTCAGCTCCGCGCAGACTGACTTCAACCAGCTAGCTGAACTGGACCGACAGATCAAGGGTTTCCGGGTGGCTTCCAATCCATACACCTGGTTCACCATGGAAGCTCTGGAAGAGACTTGGCGCAACCTGCAGAAAATCATAAAGGTACCTGCAGACAGGCTGGTTATGTCCGTTAGTGGAAAGATCTGAATTTCGAAGCTTATTTAGTATCATTAAGGTGACTGATGCATGGTTCCGAAATGGAAGAGATTTGATGGGGCCTTCAATACTTTGTGCACCTCTACTACCTGTTTTATAGAATAGAAGCTGAGGCAGTCTCAGATGTTTGGGTGACGCTTGTTGCTATGAGGAAAGGGTTTAGCATGACAAAATATAAGTATGGTTTTGTCACACCTTTTAGAAGACAAAGTAGCATGCAGGGTGACAAGTATGATCAAGACTGGATAGCATGACATGGCGGCCTGCCATTAAGTAGAATGAAATGTTGATCTAATGGCATAGGGCTTTAGTTCTCAATTTCTTTTTTACCCAATAGGAACGTGAACTGGAACTTCAGAAGGAACAGCGAAGACAAGAGGAGAACGATAAGCTGCGTCAAGAGTTTGCCCAACATGCCAATGCATTCCATCAGTGGATCCAGGAGACTAGGTTACTGATCTTTTCTTCATGTCTTTTTGCCCTGCATTTTGTGTTCTCTTGCTTTTTTCCCAGCTGCGCTTTATCCTGTAAATTATCCATGATTCGTTGTTGGTAATGAATTGTAAATCTGTGATGCTTCAACTATATTAACTTTTTTTTATGTTCTTTTTTCCTCCACCCCCCACGCCGTATCTATGCTGCTACCTTCTATTGGCCTCTGTCCATAGGACCTATCTTCTGGACGGGTTAGTATTCTAAGACTGTGTGATGCAGTAGATGTTCATAACCATATACAGCGTATTTGTTGACTGTAGTTGGTGTCAATTTGCACAAAGAAAATTAGCTGTTGGAGTAGACAGTTCTGCTGGACCTGGAAAGCTGACCACCCTAAATGATGATTACATTGTCTAGAGTGGTGGTGGACAGGTACAGCATTTTGTGAGAGGTAAATTGCATTGTACTGGTTTCAAGCAGTAGTCACCCAGCACCTGCCGTTAATGTAAAAGAGACCATTTCATTTAATCTGGTGTGGAATTACAAGTGTTGACTTGCACTGTCGATAATAGCTGTAGACTACACAGTTCTATACTACACAAGGGCTTGGTGTGATGGCTTTTCCTGCAGCACAATACACATCCTACAGGGACAGCTCTTAGGTGTCAACATTGAACAACAGTTTAAAAAAGCCCTTGGTCAATCAGCCAAAAGGCTGAAGAAGAATTGTTTGTTTACTGAGCAAATCTGTGTTCATTATGGAACGCTTCAAAGTACTTTAGGGATGCCAGCCCTAATTATTGCAAGAAATGCTTGGTTTTGTGCCACTGTAACATTTCTCTTGGGCCAAAATGCACTGTACATGACCTCCAATTGGCATTCAGTGCTCAGAGTAGTTGCCATCTGGGCCCATGAGAAAGATCTGGAGCATGCATTGCTACCCTGCTTCTGGGGGAACACTAGGGATGCAGGATCTCAGGCCACCCTGGACACTCAAGGAGAAGCTGACATGTTAACTTCCAACCTCATAGCAGCCATATGGAATGCGATAACAAAAACGTAACGGTGCATTCTGAGATTTGCATCTACACCACAGCTAGAGACCTACCTAAGAATTGCGTCATTAAAAAGAATGATTGACATTATAGATTAAACCAGATGGGCAACCAGTAATCCATTGCTGAGAGTGTGGTGGGCAAAGTTGTGATCCAGGAGCATCTATTAAGGCGCCATGGTCAACATCCTTCCACTAAAAACGGAAAATGATACACGATCTGTAATTTGTTTTATTTGGGCGGTCTTCTTGGCTTCTGTAATAGAACAAAAGGTAGTTATGTCCTTTATTGACAGTAACCAATCATGGATCGGCTTTCATCTTTTCAACTAATGGAAGATGATTGGTTAAAATATTTCTAAAGCCCATATTTTTTCAGGTGGAGAAGTGTTTAATGACCTGTCAGGTTTTTATTATTATTGTTATACAGGATTTATATAGCGCCAACAGTTTGCGCGGCGCTTTACAATGTAAGGAAGACATTACAATCACAATACAATTCAAAAAGCTTTTAGACGATTTCCTTAGAGCCCATAACATACAGGGGTACAGGTACACTTAAGAACAAGATCACACATGGACTCATACACACGCAAACACCTGCAAAATCACATACATACACGCAATAGGTTGGACTTGTGTCTTTATTCAACCTCAAATATTATAGAACTATGTAATACAATTCAAGACAAGATGGTAAGGAGGGCCCTGCCCGTGAGGGCTTATAATCTAAAAGGGAGGGGCAAGTGATACATGAGGTAGCTGTGTGGGGATGAATTGTTTGCCCCAATGGGAAGAATGGGAAATCCCCTTTTAGACAGTTGTCGCCTGAACTGGGTTTTAGAAATGTATTTCTCTAATGCTATTCTGGTGACAACTCAAATTTAGGGATTTCCCCTCACTTCTAGTCACAGCGACAATGGTCACCTGGACAAAAAATGAGGGTGAACCTTCCTAATGGGGACTCGGAAAGCAAGAAAAACCTGACAGGTGACAACCCTACGCTACTCCATCCAAAATTTTAAAGAAATTGTCTTTAAAAACACTTTTAAAAATCTGCACATTGATCGTTGCATTCTTTTGTTGGAATACTCATTTCTTATTTGTTTTTGGAGTCTGAGGGTTTCTAGATCCCCCAGCTCCTAACAAATTTCCCTTCCCTAGTTTGTATGGTTCTTACATGGGTGCAGGGTGGCGGTTGTGGCTTTCCGTTTTCCTGATCCGTGTTTTGGGAGTGTGGCTTTTTCTTTTCCTGATCCTTCTGTTGGGAGTGTGTACAATTCACAACTGGGTCTCTCTTCTCTAGCATAGCCTATCGCAGAGTCATACGTGTGTATCAGTATGAAGTTGGGGATGATCTATCTGGAAGGTTTATCTTCTTGCTTCCTTTTTTTTTTCCACTGGTTTTCCGTGGCACTATGTGATGCTTTCCCAATACTAACACACCGCTACAAAATCAAGCCAAGAACAGTCATTGAATGCTCACCACATAGTCTTCCCTTCCGATGTCTGCAGGGTTCCATCTTAGTTATTTAAGTCAAATCGTTAGTTCCCTGAAGAGCTGAGATATTCGATCTCTAATGTGGAATTACAGCCAATTGTTTTTAGAGTAGGAAAGGGAAAGAACCCGTCCATTTTTATAGCACCCTCAGGACATCGTGGAGGAGATTTCCCATTCTTTTGACCGTGACTGTGTATACCTTACTTAAGAGCTGCATAGTGGATTAAGGACTTACAGCTGCCTGACATTTTTCCATATGAGGTCGCATTGTGGAGCCCCACTGACCTTTCAAACTGCAAATCTGTTTACAGAGGGTTCTTGGCCGTGTGAGTACACAATCTAAGTCCCCTAGTGAAGCAGTTTCCCCTTTTTGGTGAAAGTAGTTCCAATAAGGGGTCAGTCCAGCCAAAATTGCTATTTCTGTTGGGTGTAGTCTGATGGTTTTGGTCACCTGCTAGCATTATACATCTCCAGTTCAACTTCAGGGTGTTGATATCATGTATATGAAAAGGTCCTACAAACAGGGGGACTTCTTCATTATAGCTTTGCAGGTGTTTGGATCTAAATACAGTGGTACCTCGGATCACTAACTTAATTCGTTCCACGATTCTGGTCGCAAACCGAATCAAACTGCGATCAGACCGCGATCTCAACTAGAGGAAGCCACGACCATGTGTCAGAGCGGGGAAGATGGCTGCGGTTGTGTTCGCCACGCGATGCGGAGTTCCTACGAATTTTTTGCGAACAGAGGCGTTCGTGAACCGAGGTGCCACTGTAGTTAGGTGCAAAAGTCTTATTATTGAACTCTCTGAGATGCAAGATACAATTATTTGACTTGCCTTCTTTAGCATCTACTATAAACTGTCAATTCTGTAGCCACCAATAGTGCTGAGGTTTTGTCAGTGTTGGAACCTGTTTAAAATATGGTTAGTCTTGAATATATAAATAAACACCCTCCTGAAAACGATGGTAGAAAGCCCTTTTTGAATGTCAAGTACCCCCAAAACCTCAGAGCAAATGACTGTGATAGGGGAGATCTAGTCCACAAGAAGTCCCATCTTCACTTATCTATAACCCAAACATCATTTGTAGGTAGACTGATTCTAATAATGGTCTCGGCTCATTCCCTTGTAGCGTGAAGTGCACTTTTACCACCGTACCAGCACAGACTTGTGTGTGAGCGCCTAACACCCACGTGTTGCACTGTATGATCATTTAGGCACTAGGCAGTGACTTGGTCTGGTTGGCTGGAGTGATGTAGTTGAGCGGCTGTGGATTAGGAGTGTTCTGTGCTTCTCTTGATACCCCATCCGTCCGTGCCGAGCGCGTAAGTTGTGCACTAACACCATGGTGTGGCTCTTAGAGAAAGGCTTCCTAGGGGCACTTTTCTTCAACAACACTGGGCTCAGGTGTGTGGCGATGGCTTGGCATGGGGCTGTTCTTGTGGAGTCTGTCCTGGACTTAAAGTGAACACACACCACAATATCACACACATTGTACAAAACACAGCGTGGTGTATGAGTAGCAAATGCAGTTAGAGCATCTGCGCTCCATCAACTCTAAGATACAGGTGTAAATGTCTTCCGTTACTGACTGCTGTTTCTGTACAGGTCTTGCATGGTTGAAGAATCTGGAACATTGGAGTCTCAATTGGAAGCCACTAAGGTGTGTACCATAATACTATTCACGGACTCTGGGGGAAAAATAGAGTAATTTATCAAAATAGCTCAAAAGGATATAGTGCAGAGCAGGGCAACTGTGTTATTAGCTGAGATAGATGAACTGCTGCATGCATGATGTTTGCATTGAGTTTTCCCTGGTCACCACTTGAGTGCATTTTCTTCACTGAACAATCAAAAATGGTGCCCATGGGTTCTTGGCAGGCATTGATGCAGCATCTAAACCTCCAAGAGGCCATCTGAGAGAGCGAGGATAGTCCACCTGGAGCTGGAATGTGTAAAGCTGGAAGCGTTGTAGCAGCTTGTAGTGGAAATTGACCATTTAGTGGTCAGACGTAGACTTGCAACAGTTTAAAATGATAATTTGACCAGATCTAAGAAGTATGCATGCTTAAAGGAGAACTATGAGGTGAGTGATTTTCACTCATCCTCATAGTTCTAGCCGACGCGTGACACTGAAACTGTCACGCATCGGCTCAACAGATCGGGTAGTGAGCGAACGCCTACTGTCGCTCGCTCACTTTTCGATCATCTCGCTGGAGGGAGCCGTGACTGTCACTCACAGCTCCCTGCAGGGATTTCCCTGATCCTCCAGCGCTGACTTGCGGAACGGACGGGGGAGGGGGCGGTTACAGCTGGTTCTGCCTCTAGATAGGCGGAGCCAGCTGTCAATCACGCAGCTGCGTGGATCTCGACAGTAATGTCGGGATCCGTCCCGGCTGAAGCGGTCTCAGTATACCGTGAGCTGTAGCTCGCAGTATACTGAGCTTAGGGTGACGGGAGGACGCTAGTTTGTGTCCTCCCGCTACCGTTAGGAGAACTATGTGGAAAAGCCCTGACCCCATAGTTCTCATTTAAAGAGAAACCGTCAGAAATGCTAACTTGTAACAATGTAAATGTCCTCTGATATTGTGTTTAACAGTGCAACCTCACGTCTCAGGCATAGTTGTTTGTGCACTTCTGTCCCTGTCAGTGAAGTGACCGATTGTAAGGCCACCTTTAAAGGCCTGCTAACTGCTACTCTATTGGGATTGCTTTAGCAAAGTGTTTTGTTTTCTTTTGTTATCCTGGTAGCACCTCTTGTTATAAGATGATCAGTTATTATTATTGAGCTTGTGTCCTTTGTTGTCTGTAGTGGTACATTTTTTTTGCACGTACGTATAGAAACGTAATAGGGGAGTTTTCAGGCATACCGATGCTGGGGCTGAAACTTTAGAAAAAACATTGTTTTTAATGTAAGTCAAGACGATCACACTTGTGTTCCTTTTATTGACTGATTTTTCTTCCACCACCACAGAGGAAGCATCAGGAGATTCGGGCAATGAGAAGTCAGCTGAAAAAGATAGAGGACCTGGGAGCGGCTATGGAGGAGGCATTGATATTGGACAATAAATACACAGAACACAGTACAGTGGGACTGGCACAACAATGGGACCAATTAGATCAGCTGGGCATGAGAATGCAACACAACCTCGAACAGCAAATCCAAGCCAGGTATGTTCGAGAAAGCTAATGTGGGTAGGCTCTTGTTTGCTTGCAGCATTCACTTTAATGAACCTTTTCCTAGAATTTTTGTATTTGCCCAGCAGGTTCTTTCCAGAGTTAAAAGAAAACAATGAAATTGCTTGCAGTGCTCTAAAACACAGTTTTAGCTTCCGGTCTGTGAGGTCATGCCCATTTTGCTAAGTTTTTCCACAGATATTATTGCAGTGCCTTTAGTTTAATGAATACAAAGAAGATATGGAACACCAAACACTTATGTTGCCCATTGGATGGTCAAACCTGGTTAAGGCTTTTCCCCATAGTTCTCCTTAGGGTAACGGGAGGGCACAAACTAGCGTCCTGATCGGAGCGGGGGGGATCGAGAGGTGAGCGAACGCCGGTATGTGTTCGCTCACCTCCCGATCTACTGAGCCGACCTGTGACCGTCTCATTGTCACAGGTCGGCTAGAACTATGAGGTGAGTGAAAAGCACTCACCTCATAGTTCTCCTTTTAAGCACCACAGTTGGGAAAACATCTGCCTGTTTTTGACCTGGCTGAAGCCTGCCATATACAGTGAGGAAAATAATTACTTGATCCCCTGCAGATTTCGTAACTTTGCTCACTTACGAAGAAATTAATGGTCTTTAAATTGCTCCAGCAGTTGTTTCCTTCTCACCGAGATTCTTGCTGATAGTCTTGTAGCCCATTCCAGCCTTGTGCAGGTCTACAATCTTGTCCCTAATGTCCTCTGACAGCTCTATGGTCTTGCCCATGGTGGTGAGGTTTGAATGGAAGAAAGCCATTTTGTGGACAGGTGTCTTTTTATATATACATAAGGAGTTGTCGTTAGGAGCACCTTCTTAAAGTGACAGGACTCATCTGTGTACCACATAGCCAGTGTGTGGGAGGAGCCAGAATTATTGTTGGTAGGGGGGATCAAACACTTCTTTTACTCACTGAACTGCAACTCAATTTATAACATTTGTATCATGTGTTTTTTGTTTGTTTTTTTTTGTTTTTCTGGATTTGTGGTTGATATTCTGTCTCTATCATTTAAAATACACCTATGATAAAAATGACCTTTAATTTCTTTGTAAGTGGGCAAACGTACAAAATTTGCAGGGGATCAAATAATAATTTTCCAACACTGTAGTATCTTCAAACTGGGCCAATGGTGTCCATGCAAAGCCACGCTCCTCTCATCAAGGGTTAACCCTGTTTCACAGAATTTTGCATTAACCGGCACTTCAGATCATGGGAAGAACTTGTTCTATACTCGCACAAGTGTAAAATTTAGAGGCAGGATGGTGCTGTTTATGGCCACAGTTCGTCTTGATTAGGCCCCTTCACACCATGGCAGGTTGCTAATACTTATATGTGGCACTTTGTAGGTTTCAGTGGGGTCAAGCAACGCAACCAAAAAGAGGAAAAACCTTTTAGTAATCCAGCTTGTAACTGTTTTATTGGTTTGTAATTCCTTCTTTCAGAAACACAACGGGTGTCACAGAAGAAGCTCTTAAGGAATTCAGCATGATGTTCAAGTGAGTATCGGTTTGTTACTTTTGGCTCGGCTGTGCTTTGTCTGGTGGCTTCCAGTCTCTAAGATAAAACCTTCTTCCTTCCTCAGGCACTTCGACAAGGACAAGTCTGGTCGTCTTAACCACCAGGAGTTCAAGTCTTGCTTGAGGTCTCTTGGATACGATCTTCCAATGGTGGAGGAAGGAGAACCTGATCCAGAATTTGAAAACATCCTAGACATCGTAGACCCCAACAGGTATTTTCGGCGGGTTATGCAGTGATGCCTATTTTGGTGAGAATTATTGTAAGCTCTTCTCTTATAAGCTTTGTTTTGTCTTGTTTCTTGGCAGAGACGGGCACGTGTCCTTACAAGAATACATGGCATTCATGATTAGCAGGGAAACTGAAAATGTGAAGTCCAGCGAGGAAATTGAAAGTGCATTCCGGGCGCTCAGCACTGAGCAGAAACCATTTGTCACAAAGGAAGAACTCTACCAGGTAAAAGCCAACAAATCTTTTTTCATTTTTTTTTTTTATTGTGGTTCACTCCAGGAAAAGCAGGCTTTCATTTAAAAGGGTCTTACAGGGCAAGCTAAAGTTTGACTGCAGGAAACCTTTACCCCTTTTACGCTAACAGATTCCCAAATAGGCTTATGTTAGACCGTTCCCATTTACCCTCTTAAATGATGAAGGAAATTTATCAAAATCTTCATTTTGGTGTCACCCGGGTGCGGGCCGCACCCCCCTTGTGACGCCACTGCCCTAGAGTGCCTATCTAAGCTAGTTGGAATAAGTCTCAGATTGATTTAGCACTCCTGTGATGAGCGGTAAAGACAGCTCTGCAATTTTTAATTAATCTGTTTTGCTTTTCAGAACCTGACACGTGAACAGGCAGACTACTGCATCTCACACATGAAACCTTATACGGACAGTAAGGGCCGAGAGTTGCCCTCTGCATACGACTATGTGGAATTCACGCGTTCGTTATTCGTGAACTGACGTAGCCGAATTAAAGCTCTTGCTCGTGCCTGCTACCTTTGGCTGTGCATGTCCTCTTTCTACCCACACCCCGTACCTGCACTGTGTTGTCATTGTTTTAGCTTTGGGTCTAGCCAACTGAAGAAGCAATATAAGCAGTGTGCTTTAATAAACGCTAAATATTCACTCTGTTGTTGTGTGTTTCTTTACACGAATGCTAAACAATGGTTTTCTGATCAATTCACAAAGATTACATTTTGGTGAATTATTGTTTTGGCTGAGGAAGAAAACACTCCTGGTACAGTGAATTTTGACCTTTACACTCAATCAAATTCTACCAATGCATCCCTCTATGTATGATGATGAATCATAACATAGACATGTCGGGTGTAAAATGCTGTGATTGTGAAATACTTACACTGGCAGAGCATTCACTTCCTGCTTTGAAAGGGAAAAATGACTTCAGTTTGGCAAAGCAATGCACACTGGGATCGTCTTGTCATCAGCAGAGCATTGCTGGGAAATCTCATCTGTAATCTCACGAGATCTCAGGGAAAGGCATTTTCCGCCCCTGAGATGATGTGCAAGGTCACATGTGCCAGAAATCCAGGAAGTAAAAGGAGAGCTAGTAATCTGCCCTTAATAAAAATGGCCACTGCCAGAAGACTGGGAAAGAGAAATAAGGTATGCAAAGAATACAAAGCCTGCAATTATCTAGAAGTATGTGTTTTTTGTAGATTGTCATCACTGAGGCCTTGTTCACACCGAAATCGTGTGCGTTCCAGAGCGGTAGCTGCTGGAACGCACCGCGATCGCTGGGAAACTTCCCCCCGCGTTTTGGGGTGGGAGGGCATGTGGCGGTGCATTGTATTCAATGGCACCACTTCCACACACCCCGCCCGCAGTGCGATCGAACGCATTGCAAAACTTTGCCAGCGTTCCACTTGCATTTGCAGTGGAACGGAACGCTGGCAAAGTTTTGCCACGCGGCGGGAGGAAGTAGTGTGTCCACAATAGTGTGTCCACGCCGTCTCCTCCACCGGTGAAACTCCTCTACTGCTCACAATATCGCCTCTCACCTTCTACTTAGACCTCTCCAAGATCTAGCACAACGTCCCCTTTTTCAATCCTGGGCAGGGGCACCCACACCGGCCGAACTTCTCACGGTTGTGCACTGTACTGCACACGCTTCCAAACCTACCTGCAGGTATTTCTCGTAGTGCTCGGCATATATGGAAAGAACAACAATGCATGGTGCACACCACTTTGTGATGGGTTGCGTGAGACCTCTGAGGTGCCCTTGCCCAGGATTGAAAAAGGGAAAGTTTTGCTAGACCTGGGAGAGGTCTAAGTAGAAGGTGAGAGGTGATATTGTCTGCAGTAGAGGTGTTTCACCGGTGGAGGAGACAGAGTTAACACACTATTGTGGAGTTACCTGTGAAGCACTGGAGTGTTGGTTTCAATCACCTGAATGATCTGGGCTATATAAAAGACAAAAATATTTGTTTTACACATAAGACTTTATTGTTTTTTTTGAGACACTGGAGGTGAACACTGTTTATATGGATCATGAAATTGTTTGCAGTGCACAATTAAGCTTGATTGCTTTTATTGTGTGAATTTATCACTTTGTTTTTCACATAGAGTTAAGTTACTTGTATATTATTTTGTTTCATTATATATTAGCGCAGCACAAATTATTTTATATAGTGTTGATAATGATCTCGTAGTATTAGTGTTGCAGCTAACAGTATTTTGGCACGGGATCTTCACTTATTAGTTTTGAGATTGTCTCGGATTATCAATTGTCTTTCAAATACTTGGAGGATGGATGTCTTTGCTGAGAAACATATAACCATTTTGCTAGCTATTTTAGTCTTCATTTAAGATTACCTTTGTTCTTCAATCAAGATTCCTCTACAAGTTGCTTGAACTGGTCCCTATAAGCAGTTGTCTGGATGGGCTGGATCTTCCGTTCCAAGGATCGGTTCACCATCCTGGTCGTTGGCTTTACAGCCTGGCTGTTGCAGCCCTTGCCCTGGGGCATTGAGGCCTATCTGATTTTGTGATCCCTATGCTCCTTTAAAGCTAGGAAATCTGCTATTCATAAAATCTATCATTGTACCCAGGAAGCATATTTCTCATGGTACAAAGGCAAGGAATTTCCATCCCATGAAGTACTCGGTAAGACCATTCTTTTTCTCAAGTCTGGCCTGGATCAACATTTGACCTTGAGAACCATCAAGAGTCAAATTTTCGGCCTTAAAAAAATTATCTTTCAAAGGTCAATTGTCTCGAGGCTTTCTACAGGGGGTCATGCACATTGTCCCTCTACATTCTCCATTGACTCCCTGGGATCTCAAAACTTCGCTCTTAGTTTTCCAGAAACTGCTCCTCAAACCAGTGACATTCCCCTGTCTGCGGTCACTCACAAGGTTGCATGGACAGCCTGTGAAGTAACACGGTGCCTGCACAGCCTTTATTTGACTACATGCTGCTATCAGCTGCTGCTGTGACTCTACATATTTGCAAGGGAGACCTGATCTTGGCAAACAGCAGCACTGGGTCACCACTCCTGTCTACAGTGCTGGGACACTAGGCGCTCTCCACCTCCACAGTAGTTCACACTGGGGTTCTCCTCTCAGGCAATGGCGATATCAGACCTGGGAAGGTATGGGCAATGGGCTCTGAGACCCCACAGCTTCATAACAATTCTGGGGAGGGTTCTGTCCACTCTGGGGACACTGTTTCTGCTAGCCATATGCTCTGCTTCTCCCCTTCACTTCCTGCCTCAGGGTCATCTTCAGCACTCCCCAGGGTTCCCCACTCTACCCTGCTGTCATTGGCAGAATTTATGCGGAAAATATCTGAACTTTTGGAGTCCTCAGACTGCAGCAGGTGCAAGTGGGCCAACTCTACTTCTCCTGCAGAGTCCCCCTTTGAGCTTCTTCTGTCTGCTTGTGTACTCCCGGAGGAAGAATAAAATAAGGTGCTATTTTTGTTCTGTTGGTTCCTGGAGGGTCTCCTGACATCTCTTCCAAGTTTTTAAGGGCACTGTTTGTGTCCTTGTGGGACATGGTGCAAGGTATCAGCCTTGCCAAAGATCATTAGTCCAACTTAACACATTTCTGGTATTTCAGTTGCTTTACTTCTAAGGATCAGTCCCATCACGAGAAAGATCCACCTCAGACTGTTGTGTAAGGAACCACCATTATGGTAAGTTTCTGAAGGGAAAAGTATGCACAAATGGTGACAAGCTATATTGCATAAAAAATATGGCAAGTCGTCTAATGAGATTTCATTGTCATAAACTGTCACGCCTCAACTTTGAAGGCTAGATTTCACTCTTCTCTCCAGCCTGAACAACCTACACCCAGTAGAAGACATTTCTCTCCTTCCCTTCCAGTCATCAACTCCCTCAAAGGAAATACTTTTTGGACATGCAGAAGCTTGGTTTTGCCTGATGAATAGGGAAGACATTCTAGTTTGCTGCTATCATGAGATTTGCAGACGCAGACATTTTTTTATATGCTGATATGCCTAGGGCAATAAAAAAAAAAAAAAAAATGCCCTGCATGGCTCTTAAACTATGACTAGCCGGTGCAGAATGACCAATAAAGGAGCTTTTAGATAAGCAAGCCCCTCACTATAAAAAACATGGGGGTCCAGGGCAGCCATAGTGTCTATATTTGAAGCTGCTACCAAAAAGCATAGGGAAAGCTAACAACCTGCAGAGAGCGAGAGAGATTATGGTTAGTTTGGAAGCTATACTTTAATTCTCTTTGGGCAATCAATTAACCCTTTGCAGTCTGTTTTTGTTCTTATTGGGGGCTTTTGTATAATTCTTGTGGTTGATTTTGAAGTAATCAGCCACTTTTAGATGCTGTCCAATCCATAACAAACTTTTTTGGTTGCAAAACTTCAGTTTTAAATCTTTTTAAAATCTTTCATTTATGTTATGTCAATAGGCTAAAGCGGTTTTTCTTTTTTACAGGAATTCCCTTTGAAACAAAAAAACAGGCCTTTCTTTCAGGATGGTATTTGGGGTTTTCAAGTCTTTTGCGGGTTTCTTTATTTTTAGCTTTTGTTGATGGGGTCTTTTTTTTACGTTTTGAGGTGCTCAAAATGCAGCATTCACTTGTTACTATATGTTCTTGTAGCCATCTTTTTTTTTTGCAGCATGCAGATTCCTCATTTGAAAGAAATTAAAACTAAATAAAAAAACATTGTGCACCTAAACCACCTCCAATTTATATTAGTCACATTCGCCGCACAGCCCTATCCCCATCGTAACAAATACTCTGATTAGACTGATCATCCCTGATTAAAACTGCCCTGCTACTGTCCAGTTTTACATGGCTGTTTTCTCAGCCATATCTGACTATCTTGTAGTAAAACCCATTCTCTTTGTTTCTAGTAAATTTGGGCCTAGCCTTGCTATTTCAAAATCGTCCTGCTGTTGGCCTGTTGTGTCATCTGGACTCAGGCCTCGTTCACACCATATGCAGTGCGTTCCGGCCCGATGCGGTGCGATCAGAATGCTGCAAGCACTATTTTGATTGCACTGGAGCGCAGGCACAATGTGCCTTGCGATCCTGTGTGGGCGATCACGTTGCGGCCGGAGGGTGTGGCTATGGTGTCATTCACTTCAATGGCCCGCCATGGCCCCTCCTGCCCGACAAAAAAGTGAGCCGGCCGCAATGCGAGGCAGTGCGTTCCAGCCAGAATCGGCCCGGAACGCACTGCATATGGTGTGATCAAGGTCAGGTTCACACCATTTTCTGGACCAGTTCTGGAGTGCGGTGCATTGTGTTTTTGCAGCGTTTTTACCGCTATTTTGCCACATTCTGGAGCATTATTTTTTTTTAGCTTAAACTGGGCTTTCAGGTGCGGTCCAGTACGTTTGCATGTGGTTTTTGAATGCGTTCCAGTGCATTCCAGACCAGAGAAAATGAGACGAGCAGTATTTTTTGGTCTGGTCCGGAACAGACTCCTGCTGTGAACAGAGCCCAGAAATAGCATAGGGATACATTGGGATGCCTTTTTGGTCTGGGAACAAACTGTTCTGCTCTGGACATGATTCGGACATGGTGTGAACAAGCCCTTAATCTTACTATTGTAGTAAAACGCCTGCCAGTACGCCACTACATTCATCAAGTGGTAATAGGCCTTTCTTCCGATTCTCA